ATGTTGTTTTTTTCACAATGTATATCTATTATTATACAAATAAATAAAGAAATGGTGTTTATCTACAAAAAAAAAAAAAAAAAGTAAAAGAAATAACATTTCTCATATGTTAATACAATGAGTTAAATACTAGCTTGCTTATAGTAATCATATAACTAATATTGAAAAGAAATTTTAAAACAATATATCTTGTTACGTGATACTAAGCAACTATAAATACCTACTTAATGTTAAAAGAAATAGTACTTGAAAAAGATAATATTAAATTTTGAATATATTTGAAGAAATTATAATTATATTAAATAAAGAAATTAATAATTATTATAGATAAGTTAATAATAATTTCATTTTGAGTGATATTGGGGTGTGGGCTTTCTGTAGAGTCAATATGATTTTTTCTGATTTGATTGAATTGGCAATACTCAGTAGTTCGCTTGGGTTCCACTTGATATCAGTGAGAGGTGAAGTATTGGTAGTGTTACATTATAGTTTTTAAATTAAGTTATACAATTGGATTAAAGATTCTGTTAATACCTTGATTTAATTGATAATATTTGCTATAGAGAAGATTTTGTTGGTCATGTTATATGACAGTTCTACTATTTGCCATATATAAGAAATTGGTTTGAAATTGTTGTCTGGATAAAGAATTTGATTAATATTGTTTATAATTTAGCTAATCTCTTCTAAGGCTTTAGGGCACTTGAAAACATATTGAATATCTTTGATATGAAATTTATATCTTGGACAGTACCTATCTGGATATTGGTTAGTATAATGTTGATAGGATATTTGGCAAGTTAGAAGAGTTCTTAAGAAAAGTTTGATTCTGAATACTATTAGATTACTATAGCTGTTATTGTGTAATTTTTTGATGTTTTTATTAAATTAATTGATAACTTTTAAGTCATGTTAGAATATTTGCAACTTTTTTTAATACATTAAAGAATAATTTTATTTAATAAAAAAATTAAAAGAAAATAACTTGAAAGAAAACATATATATATATAATAAATCTTTACTTTCTTTTTCATTTCTTTTTTTGCTTCTGTTACTTTTTGTATTTTTTTTTCTTTTTGCTTGTAAATATTTTATATTCTTTTATATTCTAGTACCAAAATATTTTAAATTAATTTTTCTTATAACAATTTTGACTTATTAGAAAAATTGATTTTGATATAGTAATTTTTATTGATTTGTTTATAAGATTAGAGTTAGCAATATATAAATTAGTATTAATATAAAATAAAAAAGACTAATGTATTCTTACAATTATTAAATATATTTCAAACCATAAATAATAAACTTATTATATTGCTTAATTATTCAATATACTTGTAATTGCATTAATATAACTAATAGAAAAATTGAAACTAGTAATTTTTAATAATAAATAAATATTTTTTAAAAAAATTAATTAAGAAAAAGTTAACAAGTATTTAAAACCAGTCAGATTCAAAAATGTTTTAAAAGCTAGAACTTAATCTTTATAAAAATTATTTATAAAATAAAAATATTTAATAACTAACAAAAAATTATTCATATAATAAAAATACTTCTAATAACCAATCAAATTTCATAAATCCCAATTATTATCAAATAAGTTTATATTAGGTCAAACCCAAATCCAATCTGAACTGACTTATTTGTAACATTACAAATAAATCATTAAAAACATTTGTTATTTAATTTTATGATTCTTATGAATTAAATTAAATAAATTATATTATATAGTTATTAAATTATTGACTATTATACAAATAATCATTAAAAATTTAAATGATTTGAATATTATTATATGCAATATATTGTATATATTGTATAACAAAAATTCAATAAAACCAACAAATCATTAACTTTATTGACAAAATATTAAGATTCTAATAAATTTAATTTATTTATCAAACTATTTCAAATAATTGATGAGTAGTATAGTACCAAATAAATTATTTCTAGTTAGTATAAGTAATGATGTAATATCATTAAGTGATACAATAATTTATTTTTTATTTTATTTCCAATTTTTAAATTCTTATTTCATCCCCAGCATTATACTGTATATATACAGTATATTGGATTTTTATTATACTGCATTTTTTATCAATCATCAATTAAAGATTTTTATTTTCATATACAGTATTTCATTATGCTTAATACTAACACTGCATATTAATATTGATTACCGGGTATGATTTTTTTATAAAAAAAAACCATATACTGTAATGGCGATTTTATTACATATTATAAATCATTGAGTTTTTGTTTTTTAACATATTCTCCCATCAATAGAAATACCATACTTTCACGGATGTTCATTATGTTGGTCACGGTTTCAACAATCGTCGGTCACGTTACACTGCTGCCGGCTGGCAACCGGTATGCACTGGGAAATGTAGGGGCAGTTGTTTCGATTAAAATTAAACTTTTCCTCTATTTCGTTGCTTCCAAATTCCAAGTGCCTATTGTGCTGTTTAATAATCATTATACCTGTGTACGTGTGAACGAACGAATCTTTGTTTTATTCAAATTTGAAAGAAACCAAATTGGTAGGTTAATTATCGGAATGTTTCAAGAATCTTAACAGTTCTTTCAGTATAACAAAAATTTGGAATTATTTATTAATAAAATCTTGAACCTTTCGTTGATCGAACATTCTAGTTGCTTTGCATGATTCATGCGCTGATCATTAGGAAAAAAAGGTATCAATGAGTTACTTACAGACCGACAAATGATACATTATAGTAATAATATTCCGACACAAAATCAATTCCAAAAAGGCATACCGGATCCGGAAGAAAGCAATTCAGTCTTTCCATTTGTACATAAAATTTTTTTTGTGGCTTAAAGAAGCCCAATCTGGAATGACACGATTTGCGATCGACTCTTACATTCACCAATTGTCGATTGAACTAGAAATCCAAAGGGATCTAACGCTAATTATGTCAATATCATGCCGCGTTAATACAAGATCGCAATATACATTGATTCACTTAAACTTTTGATTAGGTAAATTCTGAATCTTAATAAGCAAGACATGTTGAGAAAGACCAATAGACAAAGATTGTGCGCTTTACATTAACAAGCGGGTCACACGGAAAAACGTTACGTACGATTGGTATAACATCGATGTAAGTTTATATGTGTGTAATGTTATCTTTGACCGTGTGAAATTTTCTGTAGATGTACACCCTAGATGCTTCATACATGCATTGTGCCTCTTAGTTATCGTAATAATAAATGCTTGAGAAAAAAGAAGCGAAACGCGCTGTAGCTTCTTCTTCTATTCAATATGATATACGGAATTTTTATTTCTCGTCTTCCAAAAAGACCATGGATAAAAAAGGCTAAGCAAGGATGTCGATGAAAAACTTTATTTGAAGAGAAGCGATAGGGTTCAAGCGGATCATCAAATGAATATCATACAGTATGTATGGGGTGAGGTGTTGTTGTCCGATGCAAGGTCGGAGTTTGACAATTTTAGATTTTGGTTGATTATCTCAAAGTTTGGTCATGTGGCCCGGATAACTATCGCAAAGAGATTATTACATGTTTCAAAGGTTCGTTCACGCAGTCTCTCCAAATCTTCCTTAAGCATGTTGCCAGAAACCTGGTTAAAGTGACCTTAACAAAGTTCTCTCATTTATATTTGTGTATATGCAGTTAAATATCAAACACGGTGGTACGAGAGTTAGTACTGGCTTCAAAGTCAGATCGATGATTGGAGATACGAGGAATTAAGTTTAATTATCTGTTATTAATATTAATTTTTTATTTTTATAGATTTATTCTAATTTCGACCTTCTTTCTATTTTAGTCAGAGGACTGGAGAAATGTTACGAAAAACACCGTTACACCGTTGAATCGATAAGAAGAAACACAGTATGGTGCAAATACCTTGGTCATATTTTTTCATATAGTCATTGTTTTTGAGAGCGGGGGGAAATTTTGAGGGGACCGATACCAGTATACATGTACAATATAACGGGAAAAATTAACACCGATCGGAAGCAATAACGAAGATTACATTATTATTTTATTTTTTTTTTAATCAATAAAGTAAACATTGTAACATCTTAAGTAGATTATACAATGGAGTAATCGATCAGTTATACGTGTACAAACACAAATTCTCAGAATGCGATGTCTAATAAGGGGGCAACCAAATATTATCCGTGGTGGTACGACGTTAATTTACAGTTTTACATTTGTAAATGCATATACTGTACATGTACAGTACGTATGCTGTAAATGTTTTTTAGAATGAATGCTCTAGAGCTTATCGTATTTGTGGCTCAATTGGCTTACTTGATTGTTTCAAGATCTAATTCAACCATGATAGCCTCTGGCCACGGGAAACTCGAGGTAGATGATGAATCATTTTAAAAAAGAACTACCGCAGCAGAACTATTTTAGGGATTTCCCCCTTTATCTTCAAAGAAATCCTATAGGTGAGCCATCACACAATAATGATTAATAATTTTAAGCAATGACGTGCAAATCCCAGATTCCTTATATTTCTGGGGGGGACCTCGAAAAGGTTATATCGAGTGCTAATGCATTCAATGAAATTCCATATCCGATTTATATTTTAACCGATTATGATTTTTTTTAAAGACGCATAATAATTGTGAATGTTTCTGCCTGAAATTTTCAGTAGGCAACCAATAAACCTCGAGGAAAGTATCTTCAGGGCTCAACACCCACACACCGCTATATAAGGTAAATAGTGATAATTTTACAGATGACAAAGAAGCGCGATGTTTAAATTTTTCGGCAATGCATAGCATTTTCTTGTTTTGGGGACATTTCCCCAGGAGTGCATATTTATTTCAATTGATTTTACCCAACACTTACTTTCCTTACAGCTTTTCATTACCGTACGAGACAAATGGTCAATCCACACGAGTGAACCAATGGTAGTCTAATGGAATTTTGTGTATCGGTCTTTATTTTTTTGGTGCTTATTACTGTATCTGGTTACGGTCACGCATTCGTTAATACATCACGCGCGTGATAATAATGGTGGAAGGACACTAAGCGAAACCTGATAGATAATAGAGGTGATCGTTCATCACGGTCAATTTTTTTACACAAATAATACGGTTTTGACGTCTCTAAAGGGCGAGGACTTCATGATCGCCTCGTAAATCGACGCCAAATTATCGGAGGGAGAAAATTTAAAAGAACCATCGGTCATATCCGTGTTTACTTGAAAGAAATTCGCGGAATTTAAAAAACCCGATCGATGAAATGTGATTGGTCGTTGGAGATGCATCAGCAAGCAGCTTCTTAAACTGGTTTTAACATCGGTCGCCATTTTCTTATAGTAATTTTTAATATATCTCGGTTCGCCTTTCCAAGAGCGACTGGTCACCCCGGAGACATCAACCAAATTTTCGGACCTCCCGGTTATACCCATTTCTATAACCGAGAAAGGCATTTATTATCCTGTTAACGTTACTAATCCCTCTTTCCAGGTGTTTTTCGATCAGCTCGTCAACAGTGATCGATGGCGGGGTGGAAATGGAATTTTAATATTGTGGAGCAGGTCGGTCTTTATCTTTGAATTCGGAGGCGCAAGGTGACATAACGTTACACGATATTTTTCTCAATCATTTTCGTTGAGGATCTTGACCTTTCACCACCTCATGACTTAACTAACGTACATATGAAAATTTCACCATCGCGTATCTCACACAAAATGAATTTCCTGAATCGAATTGTTTACTTTGTGAACCAATAAACATTTGATCTTTTAATGTCCCCATTGAATCTCTTCCTTGAATCAGAAGGCCACCATTAAATTGGCACACAGCAGTAATACGTAACCGGAAGTTGCGGAGCGGATAAATCCATCGATTCTCGTGTGACAGACGTGGGGAAATAATGTAAAATACATTGTTTTTTCCTCCCGACGCTGTCCCCGCCCGCACCATTGGTTCCCGCGGAAGTGTTTTCTTTCACCAGAAAACCATTCGAATAAAAAAGATTACGTAAAGAAAAAAAAAAGAAAAGAAAAAAATCCAAACCTGTTATGCTCCTAGAATAACAGAATCTACGTTTAAAGGGGACACCTTTGCCTTCATCATTTCATACATTATCTTAATTTGGTTAAAAATATTCAATTACCGGATTACCGCGAATCCCCACCCGTGTGTTTAATGTATTGAATGCAGTGCTGTTTATATGCCTTCGGAAAATAATTTTATTCAAACTCTTGATCTTAATGAATATCATACTACTGTAATAAACAATGCAGTGAAACTCGCACCCATAGTCTACGTAAGATATTCGAGCATTGTCTCACAAATATAAGAAATACAAATTAGCGTGTCGTATCAACTTCAAAATGTAAAATATACTATTTGATAAAGAGTAAAATTGGTTAAATTAAAATTGGGGATTGGAATTTCTATCTAGCCGTTTTGTCACCTTTGTAATTTGATGCCAAGAGGATTTTTTTTTCACTAAAATATATATAGACCATACATTGATAGGTAATTTCATTTACCGCTTTTTGTTATTTGCTTTCTTTTTTTGACTTCATCAACGTGTGTACTATTTCACTTACATTCTTTCTTTATATTTCGGTCACTTATTTCAAACGTGTTCGTCGGTCGACACATTTGCAATTTACTTTAAAAAAAC